ATATTTATTTACTCAATTTTTAATATTCTATTTAAAAAAATCACAGTGACCTTAAAAACTTTATATATTAAAGCAATGTAGAAAAGAACAGTTATTGTAACATTGTACCCCTTGAAATCACGCAACTTTTACTTCATACACTATTTCGTACAGCGAGTAGTTTACGAGTAATTTTAGATCGTCAAGTTAGGTAAACCACCTTGCATAGTATCGAATATATTTTTACGAATATCTCCAAAACTAAAGCCTAGCGGCAGTTATATGTACATGTAGGAAAAAGTTGTTCAGAATGTTGACCTTGATAACATATTTCAAGGTCGTAAGCATCGGTCAGGTCATCCGCTTTGTAAATAATTACCGAAAAATATCACCTTATCACGGCAAATTTATGTACATAGCTGTTACGTTCCGTGATAGATTTACAGACATTTTAAAATTTATAAGATTCGATGATTTTACGACATATGATGAAAGAACACAGAATGACAAATTAGCAGCTTTTCGCACAGTAACGAAGATTCTGTGGAAAATTGGCGGGGAAAGCTACGCAGCTTCAGATCAAGGTACAATTGATGAGCAACTTGTCACATACCGAGGACGCCTTCCTTTCAAGGTCCATATGCCGCGAAAATCAGGGAAATACGGCAAAAAATATGGGTCCTTGCCGATGCCAGAACATATTGTTGTTGCAACTTTGATGTATAATCTCGGAAAAACTGGAAATATGGCATAAAGGGACAACGCGTGGTGAATCAATTGAGCATTCCTTGGAAAGGATCTGTTGGATCATTTCGAGACATGAGTGCGTGTGTAGTGGTAACAGCAAAAATGATCAACATACTGAGACAGGTTAATATAAACATATACAGGGTGTCCCGTAACTCCTTGAACACCCGGAAATAGGGGGTTGCTGGGGTGACTCTGAACAACTTTTTCCTTTACCAAAATGTTGTTTGAAGCTTCGTTTTTGAATTATTAACGAAAAACACTGGCCAATCAGAGCGCGCGTAAAGCTCGCGCTCAGGGACGGAGAACAGAGGTTCATCCGCCGACCTTCGCTATTTTCTTCACGATTCCGACTAATTGCAGTTTTTTCAAAAATTTATACAAATGTCAGAATGACGGCAAAAATCCATTTCTCTAAGCCTTAGAAAAATAGCGCTCTGATTGGCCAGTGTTTTTCGTTAATAATTCAAAAATGAAGCTTCAAACAACATTTTGGTAAAGGAAAAAGTTGTTCAAAATCACCCCAGCAACCCCCCATTTCCGGGTGTTCGAGGAGTTACGGGACACCCTGTATAGAAGAATGACATAGTAACCATCTGTTTAGTATGGGTGGACGCTGATATTATCTTTTTGTTTTTTCCGCGTCTTGTCGAGCTCTTATCAATGTGTAGTGACGTGGCTTCCTCGCGTGTAAAATAAAGAATAGTTTTATAATTGAAATACCACATTTTCATTTATTGCCTAAATCCAATAGGATCTACCCGGAAAATAACTACGGATCATTTTTTTACAGATGTAACATTGTAATATTGAAAGATCATTTGTCTCCTGTTGGAACTGTTACGAAGAAATTGAAAATTTCTACTGAAATGCCGAATACAAACATATGCAAGAGATTGTTACACGTCACAATTTTTGTTTACCCGTAATTTCACATTAGTCTCCTACACGTCCAAACGCCAGAAGTGTGTTGTTTTATTTTCTAGCATACACCACGCTCACAAAATAGTTGGACCAGAAAAAAATTTCAAGTCAAAATTTATTAGTTGTTATAATGTCATGAAAAGTGGTGTAGACATTTTCGACAAAGTATTGTCGGTCTACAAGGCGTTGGCCGCTATCATTGTTGTTAAGTTAAGTTAATATTGCAGCGTATAACACATTTGTTGTGTGACTGACAGAATATCCAGAATAGGAAAGATATAATTCGTTGCAGTAAAAGAAGATGTTTTTCGGAACATCAGCGAATAAATTATTCTGAAATAATGTAGATAGGCGTGCAATTCGATTAGAAAATAGAAGCGTTGTGGCACGTAAACACGTCATAGAGGCAATAGAAGGAACTGGTTTGTATTGCAAGATTGCAATCGTCGTATCATCGAATTTCGCAGTCTTTCAAAAATTCCAGGCGTGCGTCGAATCTGCCTTCGGTTGAATTACATTCAGCAAGACCGTACATTAAATGCATGTCTGCCATCTCTCGATACGAATAATTATTCATTCTGATTTACTTAATTACGCACTTTTAACTTCTAACACACAGCAAAATAGAAAAATTATGAAGTACTTCTAGCAAGAGAACTGACGACTGAAACTGAGACTATAAACTGAAATGAGTAAATTTAATCGACAGAATGTGTGAAATGAAGAAGAACAAGAAATATGTACAAGATACAGCGCATTGTTTATAAACATTTGTTTACAAACCGAGCACCTTGTATGGAGATAAGCTCTCGCGGATTATTGAAACACAAAAGTGGCTATAACTTTGAAACAGGGTGAAATAGAATGCATGTTTATATGAACTTTTTTTTATTGTTTTTGTGTCACCTTGGGATCCACGTATTATGAAACACCCCGTATATGCAAATATTTTTTATTATTATCGAGTGAAATATTTAAAAAGATAATAACAGCAAAATTTACTACAAAACCGTGCTTCAAAGTGTATAGACGTGTCTGAACTCTCACCATGGGTCAAAATCAGTATGTTCCTCTTGTTGCTTACGTACATTTTCTAAACTTGATAATTATCGAAATATTTAAAAACATAATACTCTCACTCTTAGCTCTGTACCTTATTTTCATCCCATTGACGTGGAAACGGGCATGTAAAAACTAAATACATATTAAATATCTTTTTCGAGAGTTGTCCCATTCATCGGAATCGGTGATTTACACTTGATACCTCTCACGTATTAGATATTTAATTGTGAAATAATGGATGTTCATGTTACTTTAAACATTTTTTCTGCCATTTCTCACCATAAGTGGTTAAAACACACGAAATAAAAGTAAAGAAATAAAGTATCTACATGGGAGCAAATGAGGAATTTTAATTTTGCAGGGAGGAAGCAATGCTGGACATACTGTAGTAGTAGATGGTGCGGAGTTCCATTTCCATCTTCTACCCAGTGGAATAATCAATTCTAGATGTACATCGGTTATAGGTAATTATTTTTCAATCATGGTAGTCTTCCATAATATTTCAATAGGTTTAATTGAAAAACCAACAACTTAAGTAACTATTTTTCATTTGAAGATATAATCAAATATATAAAACATAATTGAAATGTTCATAAAAGATAAGTATAGCGTAAGTATCAGGTAATATCGAAAGTCTTAGCGTATTTTCTGAAGATACATTTAAGACATTTTTTAATCATCTTATTTATGACATTCCAATATATTACTTCTGATTCGAGCGTCAAACCAAGTCTTTAACCCTCCAAGTCTGTCAGTGCTTTAAACTTGTCGTAGAATTTCTTTGAGGGTTAAAATAGAGTATTGTGTACTTCGGATTCGGAAGCTACTCGTTTGGAATGCATGAGAATGTGAAAATCATTGATTTCTGGTATGGAACGTAGGACTCCCTCCGGGACTTACGGGTAATTTTTTTCAACATTGATTGGAAATGTAGAAAACTACATAAATATGTACTTAAATTATAGTTTTTTTTTTTTTAATGGTAATCGTAGAAACAGTTGCTGCTTTTGTTACAGCAGAGATACCTATACATTGCACTTTAAGCAAAAGGAAAATGGTTTATTTTTAATGCATAGAGTGCGTCTTTGTCTAGATTCGCTGAACATTGGAAAATGATCTAATGAGTCAAATTTTATGTTTTCCATGGTTGCCTGCTTACGAGTCCTTGAAATTTTGGCAGTGTGCTACTTAAAAAGCTGTCACTTGTGCGTCCACGTACTTTTTTGTCACAACAAAATAAATCTTGCATAAATAGTAAACACTCGCAGACATTCTGTCGTTCCCACACACATAATATAGAACAGAACTAACATTAGACACTAGAACAGCTGGTATATTTAGATAAGACTATATAAAAAAACTTCGAAATTAGAATCATTAATGGAAAATAAATTGGCATACATATATAATTATTTCTTTATTTCAACAAAAGCCACTGTATACTTGAACAAAAGTAAGAAATCTGAAATCCGCCATTTTTTCGGGTTTGGTAGTTCTAGTGTTAAAGAAACAGCGGTGACGTATAAGTAATTAACAATTTTCATAAATATTTACTCTTGAGTCCCGTATATGTCCTATAACTTCAATTCGAAAGCTCCTATATATAATGCAAACAGAGTGCAGTACCCATACATTATTTTGTCAGTTAGGACTCACTTTTGCTATATACAGTGACTCCCAAAAATATTCGAACACTACAGTATGACTAACTTGGTGGCTCTGTACTTAGATTATTTATAAAGTAATCGCCCTGGTTATTCTTTAAGTAATAGGTAATTTATTAATATTAAGAAAAACATTATTAAAAGAAATAGTGCCGTATTTTTGGCTCACAAAAATATTCGGACATCGTTCATTTTTATCGCTTATTCAATATAATTTAGTATTATAAAATAATTTTAATACTTCGTGGCGAAACCATTTTGTTTTAGAACATGTTTTCACCTGTTTAGCATATTATTTATAATTTTTAAAAAATATTCTACGGTTATATTTGTCCATTAATTTTCGAGTTTTTGTCTTAATTCGACTACTGAAGAAATTCGAGTTTTCCGAATTTTCCTATCTAATTAATCCCATAAATTCTCGATAGGATTAAGGTCTGGTGACCTTCTGTGGTGGGGGATGAAGAACTTTGGGGCATTCGTTATAACTCTTGCATAATGCGTGCCTTGTGCTTGGGGTCGTTGTTCTGATAAAACTTAAAACTATTATTAATCTCCATTTTTTCGGCACTTTGAACTAAATTGTTTTTAAGTATGTTTAAGTAAAAATTTTCATCCATAATGTCAATGAACACCAAGTTTCCAACTCCATATGACATGCAGCCCCAGACCACTACTTACTTAGTATTCTTAAACTGGAATTTTTTATTCAGTTTTCACCACTCCTTAGTTTTTCCATCGAAATTTGCTTTTGTCGGCAAATATTACATCTTTTCACCATGACATCCTTAGAAATTAGTTCCTTTGCAAAGTTTATTCGTTTCTTCCTATTCATCTCATTGATAAACGGTCTTTTTTAGCTACTCTTCCGTTGTGACCAGATTGCCTGATCGTTTTCCGAACTGTTTCGGCTGACACTTCTTTGGAGTTTTCTCCCAATAGCTCACTAACTATTTTTGGAGCATTTATTTGCGGATTTTTTTTCACTTTTCGAATAATCGAGTTTATCTCCCTCGTACTTAAAAGACTTGGTTTTCCAGTTTGCGGAATAGATTTAATGCGATTCTCCCGGTAGCGCTCGGTTTCCTGGTGGAAAATTATAATACAAGTTGTCACATATCGTATTCTTTCTTTACGACTCATTTTCAACGAAGTCACATTTGCTACTGAAGAGTAATGAGAAAATATGGACACCTATTGCACCTCTAAATGCTGTTTGTAAACCCACGTTTCTGCTTTCTTGAAATATCGGGTAACCAAAAGGAAATGAGCAGAGAAATGTAATATTCACAGAAACTCTTGACTTGATAGATTTTCATAAATCAGCAATAAATCTTTCTGCACATCTGGATGAAATGCAGGCGGCTGGTCGAAATTTTTCTCTTTACTTGTGGCTTCAGCTTTACGCCATTCACTCTAACTTTCGGCTCCCGGTGGACAGTTCTGGTGCATCGACTTTTCATTTGTTGAGCATAAATGACGGTATGATGCCATTACAGATGTTGCGTCGCAGACGCAACCGTTAAAAGTTTGACTTTATGACACCGACGACCAGGCTTGCTATTTTTGAGGGCTTCTAATTTCAATTCTTTTGTGTTTTACTTTTCCGTTCGAAGCGATGTCGAGGACCAGAAAGTATTTTATGGACGCAGAAACTCGACGCTTCTGCATGCCATACGCCTTCCTGGCGCCCGTACATTTCCTTCAATAGCAATTAACGTGTCGTAAAGCCACTTCACACATACATAGGACCAGAAAGTATTTTATGGACGCAGAAACTCGACGCTTCTGCATGCCATACGCCTTCCTGGTGCCCGTACATTTCCTTCAATAGCAATTAACGTGTCGTAAAGCCACTTCACACATACACACACACACACACACACACAGAGCAGTCCCGTTTGGGCTGATCTTTCGCAGGGCCTCATACCCCCGACACTATACCATACCACTACCCCATCGACCAGGGAAAACCCCCTACTCATGGAGGACAACCCAGGACGAGGAAGGATTCCTATTCGTCCTCATAGGCCACCCCCTCGAGCACTCGAAAAACGGGATATTGGGTTCTTCTGTACTCACTTCCGCCCATTGCAATTCGGTGCATATATCAATTTCTTCTTCACTTTCGTTTGATGTTGTGATTAGGCGATTCCCCAATAATGGAAGTATACTTTTTATGACATTTAGAAAAATTTTATGTTTATCATAATATTTGCACCTTTATACCAAAGAATGTTCTGCTTGTACATTCTTTCATATTATCAAAAATAAGTGAGATATTCGAGATAATCAAGTTATTTTGTTCATCCTGTATATATTAATTGCATATCTATGTATATTGTTAGGATATGGATGTGTGTACTTTAATTGCAATTTTGCATCATATATCAAAAATTTGCGATAATGGCTATAATAGATTCTGAATTATTTACAATTTCGTCCCCTAACCTTTCTCCTATATCACTGAATTTTTTCAACGTCACCTACAATACTGCGTAGAAAAAATTATATGGCGCCATTTAACGAAGTGAAGGTGACCTCGATTTTCTATTGAAAAAGAAAGTATTCTTGCAGTTTTTATTTTTACAATTTGTTGACAATCGGGCGCTGATTAATTTTAGTTTATAGCATGGTTTTTTGCCAGACTGTCAGAAGTGTCTTAAAAATCTGAAAGACCGTTGTTGCGTCGTGCGCTTCGAACGAGCGGTATGTTCGAGAGTGGTGGCGCAGGATTGTCGCTGGTTCTTGGTGTCAAGTCGTGGTAACTTAGAGTTTGCACGTACTTTAATATGTTGTAAGACAAAGGCTTTATGTTGAAGAGTGACAATTTTAGGTGGTGTGTGTTCGTTATGTGCTACTTGTCTATTTTCCCTTTTTGATCTGTCTTTCTGCCGCGTTGGTGCGCTTATTTATAAATGGGTGTACGGGTACAAGCTGGTGGTTTCCGCCAATGAGGACGGGTCTACCCTCTTGGACGGTCTCCCTGGCCCGCGAGCATGCCGCCCACCCTGGAATTTCCAAGTTGGCAGGGTGGTGGTATGTCGCGATGGCGGGGGAGTGAGGCCCAAGGGTAGCCCGCGCGTAACGGGACTTTGGGCGGTCAGGGAGACGCGAAAGGTTTTATGACATGTCAATGTCTATTGAATGTTCACGAGTGGGCACCGGGAAGGTATGTGGCCCGCAGAAAATTTATTTTTCTGCAGCCATAAAACGCTTCCTGGGCTTCGTGGCCAATATGAAAGAAAAATTAATTAACGCGAAGAAAAACAGGGGCGCATTCAAAAATAGCGTAAACAGGCGTCCATGTCATAAACCCAATCCCTAACAACCGTTACGCTGAACACCCTGTTTACATGCACACACTACTGTCCATAAGTATTTGGCCACCATCGTTGCATTAGAAATATACATATACAAAATATGATTTGTATACAATTTTCAAATGTAACTTTTGCCGCTCGTTTTTGTCTCACACACTCTTATGCAGGTATTAATTAACGAGATAGATAATATTTATCGCTAATTACTATAAATAAAAAGGGAATAACTAATGTCGGACAAAAATTGGTGCAGCGGGGACACTTGAGTTCAACGGCTCAAGTGCCTCTGCTCTCTCTGTCTCTTTTTTGTTGAGAATCTTTGTGATGGTTTTGGGGGGTATTTTGGAGTAAACAAAATCGGTAATTTAATTGTATACTTCGCAAAGAGCAACATTTTCAAATCATGAAGGAACGAATGATTCAAAACACAGTGCAAATGTGTGTACAAATGATTTAAAAGAATTACAAGACTATAAT